GGAAGAATGTAGGGGGAGGATGAAAAACAAATGTTGAGTAGGAAAACTGAGGACACTGGGGAAAAATAATTAGGCGAGATTCATAAGACGATGACTATATTAAGACCCATCTATCTCAAATAGCGTCTGCTCTTCCTACAAGCGCCATAAGTAGCTCTGAATACAGAGCAGCCTTATTGGGTTCTCAGAACAGAAAAGGAACCCAGAAGTACATGGCAGGTGTGCCATCACCTGAGGGAGAGAGACAGACTATCAGAATATCAGAGAGTGCTCTGAGAAGGAAAATAACCACTGGCTGTTTCCGAGGGAAGCGATAAAGGAAAAATATAGACATGTGCTAATAACCAACATTTCCTTCCTCATTCCGGGGCATAAAGATGGACTTGGACGACTGACCTGATCACTTTCTAAACATTTTTAGATCATCTGGTACCAAGACACTTTTAGATTTTTCTCAGGAACAAAGATCTTTCACTTAGAGAATATATGGCATAAGAAATTCTGCAGCTCTTTCAATCAAATAAAGTTCCCAGTTGGAATAAATCTCTCTCAGCATGCCTTGCGCTATGGTAGGGCATTTTACTGTATTTACTAATAAGGCATAAATGAATACAACAAACTTCCAACACAAAATTACTTCTTATTAATGTACAAACTACAGTTGTCAGATTTAGCAAATAAAAAGGCAGGAGCTCTGTTAAATTTATAACTCAGATAAAGAACGCTTCTTTTTGTACCATTATGTCCCATTCAATATTTGGGATGGGCTTACACTAAAACATATGCATAGCTTATCTGAAATTCAAATTTAACTGAGCCGTACTTTTTGTGCATTCATGGTAAAATCCTTTCTCCAGCAAACTCCGAGCCTATCTGGAAATAATCACTAGGTCTCAGCTGGCCAAGCTTCCAGGAGTTAGGAAGCTATCAGTCAGGAATTTGGAATAATACTTCATAAATAATGTTCATTTAACAGCGATCTGAAGCAGTGTGTTTTAAGGGCCTACTCAGATTGCATTTATGTAATTTGTTTTAAAAAGCCTTCCTTTGGTTGTTAAAGTGAATCACTTCAAATATGTGTGTGTTTTGGAGATTCAAGAGTATCATATCACCTCTTATTCTTGTTGCCCAAATCTAGACTGAAAACTTCTCATATCTGGAAACAGATCCACAATCTGGTCATAAATAAATGAGAATCCTACCTCCCCTTATAAAGAGAAGAGAAGCCTCTTTCCTGAGTCTGCATCCCTACTGTCCTCCTGGGGTTGGGTGGCTTCTCCTAGAAATTTCTGAAGAAGGCTTCTCTCTGTGGTTGCTGAGAGATGCCAAGGAAAAGTCTTCCTCATAAAACAACCAACCATTTGCAGCAATTTTATTTGCAAAGATTCCCTGCTGTGGCTAAATGGTGTGGTTGCTTCGTTTGTTATTTAATAGAGTGACCCTAGTGCGACCAGAGCTCTGAAAAGGAAAGAGTCTGATTTCAGAGGAGCCTAAGCAGGAGGAGCTGGGAGAGTATCTAACTGAATTCCATAGATGTCCCCAGAGTAGAGTGCCAGCAATGACACCTCGGGCCTGAGGGTATCTCTTCAGAACCCCTACTAGTAAGTCAAAGCCCTACTGCATCCTGAGAAAATAATATATTAGAAATCCCCAAGAGAAGCCAAGGGCTGGAGTTCAGAGCCATTGAAAGATGCAGCAGAAAAAGCTACAGTGGAGATGAGTGAGGGATGCAGGCACAGCACAGAGAGAGAGGACACATTTCAAAGAAGGTGTCCAGTAGGCAGGTAGATGCCCAGAGAAATCAGAGAACCAAGCAGGAGAGGCATTTGCAACAGAAATCTCTTTTCTAGTGGAGAAGACAGACAAGAAATCAAGGAAAGCTGGGCTCTGGCTCTGGCTGGCTCTCTCCTTTACACTGGTCCCTAAGGCATGGATGAATAACCTGCTATGCACAGTCCTTATTGCTTCTGGGGAGGGTACCACACCTGAAAAAATGGAGCTGGGCATGTGTGGTCATCTTGACAGTAACTTCCATGGGAAGGTTCAGAGCACTGAAGAGAGGTACTTAGCTGATGGATCACTGAGTGCCTCTCAGGCCTCAGAGAGATGGGGATAAAGGTTAAAGCCATGGTAGCTTCAGAGAGGTGTGATTAGAGACCAGGCTTCAGGGATAACATTAAATTTTGATTAAAATAATAATAACTGCAGATTACTATTGACCCAGAAGATGCTTTAAGATTTAAAAAAAAAAAAAAAAAAAAAAAAAGCATTCCCAGACCATATACAAGGCTTTTAAAGTAACGGTCCTTTGATTTGTATTGTTTGCAAGGTGTTTTATTTAGTCCCAATATTCATTCCTTCATAGTTAACTTTGGTTTTAAATAGCAACATCTGAAGAAATAATCTGAATCAGATTTGAACACTAACAGCAATGGGGAAAAGCAGGCATTTACAGATTTTCAAAGGGACCCTTTGGGTCCCTTCTGTGGATCAGATGTGCACTGAGGCTTGGAGAATATCATTTATTCACTTCTCTGTGCTACACATTGTGCTGGGAATAAGGACAGAGAAATGAGAAAGGCAGGAAGGCCACTACTCTCCCAGAATTTTTAGGGCAGGAAGAAAATACAGCACACAATTATCATAGTTTGAGGAGTGAATTTATTGGAAAAGTACAAGATGCACTGAAGGCATATAACAGGCTAATGTTAGTCCAAGGCTCAGCGAAGATGTCATTAGAAGTGATGGGAAGACAGAAGCCTGCAGAGGAACAGCACGAGCCAGTTAAAGGCCCACCGGCACATGTCTAGTGGTGAGAAGGGTGTGCTGGGGAGCACATTCAAGACAGACAAAGGAAAGAGCTGGAAATGAGAGAGAACATAGAATCTTCAAAATACTAAAGTCAGTTCAGTACTGCAGTACGATGATATTCAAGTGACAGAATAGCACCAGGCAATTTTGGAAAGGCAGACAGGGCCCATGCTGTGGAAGACTTTATTAACCATGTTAAGGAGATTGGCCTTTATGATGGGACCGATGAAAAACCACTGAAAGATATTAAGCAAGCAAATGATGCAATCACATTTTCATTTTAGATCACTGGCTGCAATGTAGATTGGAATGAAGCAGAGCTGAGAGCAGGAGATAATTTAAGCCCTGCAGCAATGCAGGTGGGAAGAGATGGACTGAGGTAGATAGGGCAGGGGAGAGGAAAACAAACCAAAGCATTGGTATTGGGAGACTAAAATCCATAGAAAATGGCATGGCTGACTATAAGGTGCCAGGGATATAGAATTCAGGACATCCTGGAAATGTGTGTCTCAGGCAACCTGGTAATAGGATGTATCCACTGCAGGCAGTGTATATTTGGCCATGAGAAGGTGGGAAAGTCTTGGAAGAAAAGATCAGCAGTGCAGCTTTAGGTATGCTAAATTCTAAGGGCCTGTGGCACCCAAGATAACATATCCAGTCATGGTAGAAAATACAAACTTGAGGTTCCAAGGAGGGAAGCTAGCCAGAGATGCAAACTTAGGGAATATATGGGCATTAATCATATCCCTTGAAAACAGATGTGAAAAGAAGGGGGTCTAGGCAAAAACCCTGACAAGCATCACGATTTGAGGGATGAATAAAAAAGAGGTATGTGCTAGGGAGCCTGAGATGGTACTACTGGACAGGAAGAAGGAAAATCCAGAGGGTCTGCACCAAACAAGGGGTGACAGTTGGGAGTGGGGGAAGGGCAGGGAGCTCAAGGTAGGAGAATATTAGGATTGGATCACAGATACAGCCACATTGCAGCTGCTTTTAGTTTCAACCCTAAATTAAGAGCTGGGTCTAGAGACTATTGTCCAGCTCCCTCCCAGAAGCTAAAAAGTACACGCAGGTACCCACAGAAACCTCTATCAAGTGTATTTTAACAACCCCGGAATGTACTTTGCTAATGGTTTACTTCTTAAGCTAGATGTAGGGTACCTGCGTATGCATTGTTTCTCTGCATAGTGTTTTCTCTGTCTGATATAAATCAAAATAAACTTAAAATGAATGCCTAGAACATATTGTTGAATAAAGGAAAGTCCGGTATTGAACAGCAAGTATTTTCATTTAAGTGAAATTTTAGATTGAGATCAGTATGGATATACTTATATACACAGCAAGATGTCTAGAAAGATATTAACTAATTATTTCAATAATGATTACCTGTGGTTCGCTGGATTTAAGGTCATTTTAATTTTCTTCTTTGTGTTCTATTTTGTTTGAGTTTTTATAGTGTACCTACACAGCAGTTTTCTACAAATAATCAAACCATAAAAACACAGTATAGGATCTTCTACTCACACAGTCAATTAATACCTCTAGGAGGATGTACTCCTACCCTGGCATGGTTATAGGAGGCTTTGCTAACTAGACTAGACTAAAAGCAATAGTCTTGCTCTTAAAGACAGAGAAGAGAGAAGCAAAGGAGATAACAAAAAGCCTGTCCCTTTGTGGGAAGAATGCTCTTCGCAGGTCAACAGATCCATGTAACCTATTCTCCCTTCCCCCCTAATGCAGCAACATTCCAGAGTAAAGAGGACCGTACCCTCTCATCCGTAAGTCTAGTGTGCCTCTTCTGGCAATCAAGTGCTTAGGAATCAGAGAGGCCTGGGCGCAACTCCAAACTGATCCACTCACGGGTAAGCAGCACTGCGGACAATTTACACTTACAGCCTTATTCTGTTATATTGCAAAGTTGAAACAAATTTTAAAACCAACTAATAGAGGTTTTTGAGGAGTAAATGAAGCCAGCCATGCCGAATGCTTAGAGGAATATGTAACACACAGAAAGTGCTCTGTAAGTGGGCTTTGGCAAGGTCTGGATCTGCTGTCTCCTGACGTCGTGCCTGACTGCATGCCTGAGGCCATCCCTCTAGCTGCACCCTTCACGGTTTCCAAATCCCCAATCGCAGCGTGCGAAGCTGTGCCCCGGTGTCCCCACCACAAGCTCCCTGCTCCACACTTACCTATTGAGCATGTTTGACTGGTAGATTCTCTTCTCGTGGGTGTTATAGCAGCTGCTCTTGGGCTCAGGGATGAAGCTGTGTTCGGACAGCATGTCGGAAGCAGCGGTGGTGATGATGGCAATCCCGTCTCGCACTCTGGCAGGCAGGCCATAGTCCCATTCATCGTATGATACAGAGATGAGCCCAGTAGGGAACTCTGCGGGCACCGTGTCTGTGTCGCCTGCCACCAGACTAGGCACAATCCATGTGTAGCCGTAGCCGGTCAGCCCTACTGAGTTAGCCACTTCAAAGATGTAGGTGGCTTCTTCCTTAGTACAATAAAGGAGAATGATGGGGCTCTGAAGTTTCTTGAGCTGGTTTTGGATCTTAGAATCTCCATCATCCAGAGACATGTCCAGTAACAGGACTTCCTCTAGCTCCCAGCCCACAAAGCTGTTCTCAATGGTACTGCGGATCTTGTTCACGAAGTCCTGGTAGCCAGGGAAGTAGGTGGTGACGATGGAAAAGATGTACCAGTCATATTCTTCCATGATGTTGAGCATTACAGAAGCTTGCTGTTCAATTGATGGGCCAAACTGGAAGAACATAGAGGATTCGTCCTAGAACAGTAAGGGTGTGAAAAAAAGAAAGAGAGAGAGAAATCAAACCAAAGATGGTAGTGGAGATTTTGAACCAGTTGGATATAACGGTTCGTGTCCCTATTTATCTTTTTCTATAATACCTATAAACATTTTTATTTTCAATAAAATGTTTTTTTTTTTTTTTGTACCGGGGATTAAACTCGGGTCCTTGCGCTTGCAAGGCAGGCCACTGAACCGCTGAGCTAAATCCCTGGCCCAATAAAATGTATTTTAAAAACTGGAATGGCAACCATTTATGATAAAAGAGTCTCCCAGAATTCAGAGAATGTCAACACAGACTTATATTCTCTGTGTCTGAAATCCTTAAGGCTAGAGCCTAAGACAGCTCCTCAAAATCAAATATGCGACTATTTCTACAGCGAAGCACGTGAAGAGCTACACAAAGCAGAGTGAGGACTCTCGCAGGCTCATGGCGGTGGCAGTTAGGCTCCGTAATCAGAGCAGGCACACATGCGCACAGTTGGCACAGACCCACATGCCCTGCCCACTGTCTGGGAATGCTAGGATGTCCTGAGTGCAGGTGTGGATCATTCCGCACCAGAGTGAATGACCTAAAATGCCACCGACCTGCCCGGAGAGCTATCTGTGGAGGTGCTTAGAGCTATTGGCCCAGGGGATGGGTGACTCCAAGGTTTGGACACCTTCAAGAAGAAGCATATGCACATGTGTAACTGTTAATTAGTAGCACTCTCTATCAGATTCGTTTTCCCTGTCACTTTCACTCTGGTATTAGGGTATGAAAGTTAGAATAAGGCTCAAAGAGTACATCTAAGCTATATGTTAAAACTGCTGATATTTAAGTACACATATGATTCTTTATTCTGGAGAAACAGTATTGTTCTTTCTCTCTTACCCATAATAAGGCCACAGGTGTTGGACTGGCCTCTGCATTACACATTCACCTCTTTAGTCATTTTTAGCATCTTCAGTGTTTTCTTCCTTTCAAGGGAGAAGCCATTTAAAGTTTTCCCATTTTAAGCTGCATTTCACCTGCCAGTCTGAAATGTCAAGTCCTGTATTTTATCTCCACCTTATAGCTACAAGAATCGGAAGCTGCAAAATGAACACCCTCTCAGCCTTGTCTTTCTCTCTCAGTGCATTTCCCCCTTATTTCCTCCTGGGTAATGGCATCTCTTTTCTTGATCTGTGCCCACATCTTCTATCCAATGATTCATTTCCATTTTGTAACAATCGAGGCTAATAATCCAGGTTTGTCTCTCTCCGAGGGGCAGTTCTTTTTCATTCCCCAGCTAAAGCTTCAAAATACAGTGACGTGAAACACAGAAACTGGGCATTTAGAGAAAATTATATAGTGATTTCTTGGTTCAGGAACATACTGATGTATAGCTGAGAAATTGCTGAGTATTTCTTGGGCAGCCACTATTGAAAAAAATACCAGGTGGGAAATATTCAGCTGCTGTGAAAGCCCCTGTTTCAGCAAGGTGAGCTGCAGCCCCTTGGCTGGGCCAGAGTCGGGTTTACCCGCATGGCTTGAACTTTTCACATTTCCCACCACTCAAAAGGAAGGAGCAGAAGCACACTTATTTGAGGTGATTCTTTCTACTAAGGGTGAAGTGGCACTGACCCCGGCTCCCTCTGGATGGAACACACAGCTGAAGAGGAGCTTCCAAGGACTGTGGAATTCAGAAAAGTAGGGAGGTTAGGCCCCAAGAATGGATGGGCAAGGGGGAAGGAATTAATTTAATGATAGAGTAATTATATCATGTATGCTCATTGCAAGCCCCGATCAGGATAAACCCCTCTTTGTGGACTTCTCCTATAACATAAAAACTGTTCTTCAGACCTGTCCTTATACTACGGTGCTGTTATGATCTAAATAGTTGGGCTTCCACTAAAGTCACACATTGAAATTCTAACTCTTAAGGAGACATTCCTAAGCAGTAAGTTCCTTTGGGAGGTGATTAGGTTATAAGGGTGGAATGCTCATGAATGGGATTCGTGCCCTTCTTTAAAAAAAAAAAAAAAAAAAAAAAGGCGCGCAAAGTGCTGCTTGACCATACTACCTTGTGTGGAATCAGAAAGGGCCACCTATGAACCAGAGTACTCCCTTGCCAGCCACCAAATCTTCTGACACCTTGGTCTTGGCCTTCCCAGCCTCTACAACTGTGAAAACTAAATTTATATTGTTTGTGAGCTACCAAATTTATAGTATTTTGCTCAAGCAGCCCAAAAGGACTAAAATGAGTGGGAATATCAGATGGCAAAGATTAATTATTCCAAGATTTATCAGCGGCTCACACAGAACTACAGAAACAGTAAAAGAAGTCCAGTGACAGAATGATTCATTTCAAATAGTTAATTGCTTTAAAGAAATATCTATTTATTTTTGTTGTTGTTGTTATTACTTCTAGCTAAGAGAATTTCGGTTATTGTCCAATGGGAAATATTATCCCATGAGTTCTACAAGCTCAGTGGTTATAGCAAAGTACAAAAGCTTTCAAATATACCTTAGGGTATACAGGGTTTGGGATGAAAGGGCTCCCAGTTGCAAATAAAGTCAGTCTACCTATTCTGAGACAGATAAGCAGGTATTATCATAAGAAGGTTCTTGAATACAGATACAGTGAAACTATCACTGGCTCAAATACACAGCAAGAACTAGCTTTCAGAGAAACCAGTGGGGTACCTAGCAGATACTCTCATGATAATGGGATTAAATTTAAAGAAAACCGATCTATTGAATACCAACCTGACTCTCCCCTCTCTTGGTTTTCTCCTAATACTCTCCCGTACTTACAGATGAATTTGTAAACACATCACCAGGTATTACGCAAAGTCAATGCATGGTGAAACAAAAGAGAAAATTAACATGGCTCTATCATACCCCCACCACCTGCTCCTTCCCTCTGATTCTGTTGTCCTACACAACTTGACACCTCTGCCCCCATCCATACCCAGCTCAGCCATTTTATCTTGCCAATTCTCCATTAAATAAGGATGCTTTCTATGGCCATTTTATCTGGCACCAAGAGGAAGATATTGAAGGCAAACAGAAATCAAGAGACAGAGTTATAGCTTGGGCAAATGTTTCCCAGCATAATGAGCAGTCTAGTGTTATTAATTTAGTTGACACGTCTATCTGGTGTATGGTGGTCAGGAATGGAACAGCTCTTTCTCCACAAAGCTTTGGGCTAACTATAAGTTGCAAATGGTGACAGGCTTTGCAAATTACGGCTGCAGTCACAAATCAAAGTGCAATCTTCGTGTGCGCATGGAGTGGAAAGGACTAGTGGCCCTACATCCATCTTTGCAGGCACCCGGCATGCACTGTGATCACCCATAAGTGATCAAGGATGAAGGACAGAGACATAATTCTGTTTGCAGCTCACTGTGATTCCTCACTTACATTTTTATCTCCTAATGTCATTACAAAACACTGACATGCAGGGGTCCTTAGAACAGCCTTCACCTCCTCCTGAAGATTCCAGTCAAGTTTATTGCATGAATGTACTTCTTCAACTTGCCTTGAGAGAGTCTTTAGAGCATTCCTGAATAAGATGCCACCTTAACTGAGATGAGCAATTAGCACAGAAAAGGTAGGATTGTGCCTTAGACACATCCATCCACAACCTTTATGTTATACTTCCATTACTCTGATGTTCACAGAGCTTATTTCCTAATGAGAAGAAACAAAAAGCCATAGTTTTTCATCTTATTATGTGCCTCAGAAAATAATTGCCTAAAGAATTAGCAGTACATGAAATTTTCCTTCTGCATCATCCAGATCTCCTACTGATTCACTACTGAAATACAAAATTAAGTCCACCAGCTACTGAAATTGCCCTTGGCAATAATCTTCAATTCGGTCCCCAACTTGGAATTGTCAGCTAAAAAGTGCCATTTGCCCAAAGTCATGGGGTGAACAAAGTTGAATAACTGATATATAAAGACCTGGTCTTTTTGCTCTAACTTAGAACAACTCTGAGTCCCCATAAGATCAGGTGGAGGTTAAACTGCATCACTTGGTATTTCTCCCTCACTTCCCAGTCCTGCCTGATCTTCCTTCACTTTCATGGGGTTAATTCAAGAACAGTCCCTAATAAGCCGGCACACAATCTCATTCTTGAAATCCACTCGCCAGGGAACCTGACTCTACTTATCTTCACTTTCCAACATGGAAAGGAGGGGCTTAAAAGAGAACATTACATCTATTTTCAAATACCAAAACAGTAGAAATATAAGTCTTTTGCCCATTAGCTCCAGGGGAGAGAACTAGGACCAAGGAACAGAAAGACTGAAAGGAATTATTTGTATCAATATGTGAAATACATTTGCAACAATTATAGCTTTTTAAAATAGAATGCACCTCAGAAGATAGTGAGCTCTCTGTCACTGCGACATTCAAGTGGAAGCTGCTTATTTGACTAAGGGTTTCTCCCTAATACTCTGGAAAACGCCAGGTTCACCTTGTATTTCAAATATCAGCTTTTTGATAAATGCCACCTTTTCTAATACCCCAGTGAAAGTGGTGCTTTTACATCATTGTGTATGTGCTTCTACCACAGCATTTTTTCATACAGTAAGATTTGTGCTTGCTTCCTCCCATGGAAAATTTGCTTCTCAATAGCAGTAGCTATACCTTATTCATATTTGAATCCCTAGTCTGTGCATGATTTTTAAAAAGTGTTTATTATATTAATATTATAGAGAGGTTTCTTTTATTGAGTGGGAAGTCAACTGAAATGACACTGATGATCTCATCCAGTTCCAAATTTCTTTGCTGATGATACATGTTCACCTTGTGGAAATAAGATTTGTCGAAAATTATACATAAGCCCCACTTTTGTAAAATGTGAGGGGATCCTTGTAGCCAGCCAGGGTGGCAGAAAATGTTCCTGACAGTTATTTACTCCCTTTGCAGTAAACCTCTTAAGAGCATCAACTGTACTCACCCGATCCAATCTCTTTTCTTCCGTTCACTCTTACACAGACTCCAA